AAGTGCCCTCTACAGTGTGAGTGCTATCTCAAATTATGAAGCATAAAAACATCAAAGGGTACATGTTAAAGTGTGCTGTCTATCTGTACAGTTTGTATGTCTGTATCAAGCCATTTGTTAAAAAAAAAAACTGTAAGATTCATTTACCAGGACAAAGAAAGCTGTCTGTTATGTTAGCAAATTTCAATGAAGTGGGATTCCTACAAATGAAGCTGTTTCGCGTCATGTTTTTTCCTTTGAACTTAGTTCAATGCTTAGTTAAGTTCAACATTTGACTCTGCAGAACCGAACTCAATTAAGGTTGACCCAAATCACAATTTGGTTTGCCTTATGAAAAGTTCAATGTCTGGCCCGTACCTGAGTTATTTTTTAGGCATAAAGGAAGAAATCAGTACAAAACTGTTTTTATGATTCAGAAAGTAGAATTACTCTATTTTTTTATATATTCAATTTGTGCACGAGTTCAGACATGTGCAAGTAAAGAGATGTAGCTACGTAGGCTAAGTTTTAGGATTGACTTTTTTCCTACGTGTATCTCTTTCCCATATATTGATATGTTTATTAGCTCTTTATCTAAAACAAGAACTTTGGGATCCCCTAGCAGTGCTCGACTTTCAGAAAAAAATCTTGGGGCCAACAGGCCCCCATGTTTTCATTTTTGGTCGCCAGAACAAGTATTCTAGTCGCCAAAAATTATATATTATAAGGTATTCAAGCTTAAGGTTCAGGAAATGGAATACACATTAAGAAAAACAAACTTAAGGAATCTTAAAAAAACTTATTTGGGATATTAAAGAACAAAATCTGCAAAATTTGTTTTGCGTCCCATGTATTTGCACATTCAGAAATGAACATCGGTGAAACTTCATCTATTTCGCGGTTGCCTAACACGTGATCGAAAGTCTCCAGAAAGAGGAAACGTCGCTAATGTTTTCGGGCAATGAAGTTGATTTCGCGAGAAGTCTGTTAGACAAACAGCATGAGTTCAACAGTACTTCATTAGAAGTCAATAAAATACGGCAGAGCTTTTATTTGGGTCGCCACGCTCAACAGAAATTTGCGTAAAGTTGTTTACAAGAATTGCGAAGTTCGAGTAAGCGCTGTTCGTTCTCGATTAGCTTCGATAAGCTTTAGCTTTTATCAGACTAATCTGCTACCGAGTCCGCAATCGAGATACATGTTGGGCAAAAAGAAATTGTTTTAAATATCGATGTGCTAAAAGTCATTCCCGGAGAAACACGGGACGATCTGTTGAGAATTGCGATCGATTTGCCCGAAAGTCGATAAGTCTTTCGTCGAATTCATTCATTTCACAATCCTCTTTCAAGTAAACGTAGATTAGAGTGTTGAAAGAAATCGTTAAAGCGTTTAGACAGATCGTTAAAATGTTTAGACAAACCGTTAGAGCATTTGGGCAAAACGTTAGAGCGTTAGCAAAACCGTTAGCTATCCGTTAGTTTTGTAAAGGATAACAGATTATCATTAGTGTACGTTTACCCAAAGAAGAAAGTCACCTATCTTGGTGGCCAGGTTGGTGACCAGGCGTGAAAATTTAGTCGCCACTGAGTAAAAGCTGGTCGCATTGGCGACCCCACAGGTCGCAACGTCGAGCCCTGCCTTGCAATTTATTTTAACTGCAGCTGCCTTTGTTCAGTTGGTAGAGTGCTGGCCCCAGTTGTTGCCTAGCAAATGGTTAGACCTTTGCTTGGCTCAGATGATGACAAAGAAGTGCTCCAAAGAAGACATAACACACGTCCTTTGTACTACCAAGCAAGAACAACATTTTTTACAATACAAGTGACAATATAAGATATTGTTATTATGTTGGCCAAGCTACAGGGAAATAAGTTTCGCTGTATATAAAAGAATATACATAAAAGAATACTCAAAGTTGTCAACAGAATGATATCAAAATAATTATTACATTCAGTCCTTCTTCAACCCACTACTTCTAACAATCCAGGTTCAACACTGGTAGGTCCACCATGGCACAAATCCTGACATTATTAGAAAAATTAATGAAGGGATCAGAGCCAGAAACTTGCTGGCAGTAAATACATTCATTGACTTCAGAAATGCCTTTGATTCTATGAACAGGAGAAAGATGCTTCAGATTCTCAAGGCCTATGGCATCCCCAAGTGACTGGTGGATGCAATTGGTATAACCCACAAGGAAACACAAGCTACATGTACAAAAATGTAATCTCCTTTCCCCTGACGGTGCAGAAACTGAATTCTTCAAAATCACCACAGGTATGCTACAAGGAGATACTCTTGCCCCTTACTTGTTGATAATAGTATTGGACGATGTAGTCCGGGAGGCTATTGATGGACAGGAGGAGAGCCTTGGACTAACAATTAAGCATAGACAAGGTCACAGAGTTTAGGCCGAAAAAGTCACTGAATCTGAAATTTGCAGACAACAGTGCTCTTTTTAGTGGTCAGTTTCAACAAGAGCAAGAGCTACTCAGAAATGTTGAAGAATTATCAGTCAATGTTGGTCTTCTACCAAATGCAAAGAAGACAAAATAGATGTTTTTTAACCATCAGCTGGGCTCAAAGAACGAGGCGACAAAGTAATTGAACCTCTTGAGAACTTTAAGTACCTGGGTTCATGGATCAGTGACTCAGAACATGACTACAAGTTCAGAAAGGCTTCAGTTTAGGTAGCTTACAACAAAATGAGAAACGTATGGACCTCAAAGCTGCCACAAGCCACAAAGATCAGACTATTTCAAGCAACTGTGGAGACTGTCTTACTCTATGGAAGGGAAACGTGGACCCTGACAAGGAAGCTGGAGAAGTATCAATGAATAGTGTGAACGTCCCTGAATGTGCACTGGCAACAACATATGAACAACCATGAACTACATGGGAGCCTCCCAAGAGTCAGTAAAACAATTTTCCTGCACAAAGATTAAGATAAGCTGGCCATTGTGCTCATCACAATGAGGAGACTACTTCAAAAGTGCTGCTTTGGGAGCCCCAGCATGGTCACCCAAAGCGAGGTAGACCAAGAACTACATACATTGAAAACATCAAGGCTGACACTGGACTGGACAATACCAAAGAAATAAGAGATGCAATGCTCCATCAGGTCATGTGGAAATATTTTGTTAGCATGGCTCAGGATGAATCCCGGCCTAAGTAAGTAAGGGAATCCTGCAAATGCTTCTCTCTACATGGAATGCTGAATTAAATGCTAATGACAAAACAACCTTATATTTCTTAACTATTACTAGCTGGCCCACTATAACTAGTTGTAGCTGTCCCTAAGTGCCAATGAAAGAAAAAGAATTTGCCTACATCACCGGTTTTAGTTCCAATGTTTATAAAACCATTAATTTTAGCTGCTGAGCCGAGAAAATCCACCACAAGCACTACTCGTTCCTACATTTCGGGCATGCTCTTGGCCTTAAAATTGCTCTTATTCTTCTGCTTAGACATTTTTGAACCTTAAACTTGTCGAGTTTCAAACAGCAATAAATTTTATTGGTTAGTGCAAACTTGAAATAGCGAGTTGTAGTTCGTACAACTACAGTAGTGTGGCACAGAACATTGTCCGAACTTTCAAGGTTTGTTTGTTTACAACAAAGGTCATCAAAAGTCACGTGAAACTACACGTGAAATCTAACGCCACTAAAATCCCCACGGAATTTACCTTACATTACACTTTTC